TGGCTCTGTCCCTGTTTCGAACCTCAATATACACATGCACACATACATGCACAGTGAACCCCAAGAAGCACACTGGGTTTGGAAGCCCAACAGATCAGTCTCGTCGCCTGTGTCCTCACGTGAGGGGTGGTGACAACGCCTTTGCCATGCAGGGCTGGGATTGGGTCTCCTGGAGGTCATGGCACACATACCCCCACCGGGTGCAGTCCATTTCTGGAGCTCCCTGCCCCGGAGGCTCTGTCTGGAGTGGGGTGCTGACAACTGAAATTCAGAGCCCTCTGAGCAGCCTGGCAGGCCCAGAGAATGTTGCTCAGGAGCCAGAAGCCTCATACAAGCACTCCTGTAGGAGGCCCTCTCGCCCTTATCCCCCAGCAGGATGCAAGGGCCAGAGCTTCTGAAGGATGGAGGGTGTGGTGAGGAAAGGTGACAGAGGACGGAACAAAATAGTCAAGGCTGCCCCACGGCTACCTGTCTTGTGGCAGGCTTACCGTCCTGGCTACAGGCTCCATACAGCTTGATGACTTGTGGATGGTTGACCTGCTTCAGCAGGTTGAACTCTGACAGTAGGTCCCGCAGCTCGCTTGGGGAGGCATTCTCTGCAACGCAGGTAAACAGCAGGCTGTAAAATGATCCCTCAGGAAGGGGCGATGATATCACCTGACCCACACCTGACCTGCAGAGATTTGTTAACCGCCTTCGCAGACAGTCCCAGCCCAAGTTCAGACAGAGTGTGCAAGGACCTGGCTGCTCTGAGCTTCTCGCAGCTCATGGAATGCTCAACAGCATCCTTATTGCCTCCAAGCAATAAGAACCCTCAAGAAGAAACTTCCCCATAAGCAGGGTCACCATGGAAAGCCTCCCCAACACTGGGCTGTGTGTATAAGTGACATTACTTTTCTGCAATCACCGTCATACAAAGACATTGGTACAAAGAGACTCACCTAACCCCTTCGTTAGTTCTTCTAGAAAGGCAAAGGGACACGGTGATATCCCTAAACACACAATGACCACATTCTCAGCAGTGGGGGGTAAAGTCCTGGGAAAGGGCGAAGACAGTGAGACAGCACAGAAGTGGCCTCTTGCCACGCTGAGCACATGTATCCCGTGGGCAGGCAGCCCTGTGGCTCTTGCCCAGCTGTTGCCACGCTACGCCTCTAGCTGCAGATTTGTCTAGAAGTGAGAGGGCAGCTGAGGAAGGGTGCCAAGTCTGCTTGATGGCTGACCCCAACATGGGAGGCTGGCAGCTGGTCTCACTTTGCTCCTTAACTCCTGGGGTCTCCCTAGTGTGGGAAGACCCATAATACCCTGGCAGTGTGGTCCACCTGCCACATTCAAATGTGTGTGTAGCAGCAACTGGGGCCTAACTCCCGGCTGTTGGGGGCTTCGTCCACATGGGCCAGGGTGTGGCCACGGTAGATGTTGTCCACCCAGAAACACTCAGTGTGTGCCACTCAGAGACAAACATGTGGCATGACTGGTCATGGGAGGGGCAGGTCTCCTGGAGGCGGCCAGAGATAGGGCAAGCCAGGGTGGCAGGGGCCAGGGGCCAGTCCTTACAGAACTCTACAGATAATGGGCCGAGAGAAATGAATGGGACAGACTACTGCAAGAAGAGTGATCGATGGACGCCAAAAAGGGCTCATGATGCTTTAAAACTCCACATTACGTTTCACCCAGCATTGGGGCAGAAGTAGCACCAATCTAGCACCTTCCAAGGGAGTAAAAAGTCTTCACCCTGTTGCTCTGGTCACCACCCCCACCAGCAACCTGGCAGGGCGGCTTCATCCCTGGTCATCCCTGGTCTCACAGAGGCACCTGTTTGCATTGCCTGGACAGGTACCTTTCAGCATCTTCACGGCCACAGTCGTGTACCCAGCTTTGCCTTTCAGCCGGAAGGCTGTTGCCTGGACCACTTTTCCAAATTCACCTTCTCCCAGAGTTTTTCCAAGTATCAAATTCTTCCGAGGGAATTCCCACTTTGGATCCTCCTATGGTGGGGGTGAAGGAAGGGAGAGGAGAGAAAGACACTGAGGATGGGCCCTCCCGCCCTCCCTGGTGGTGCAAAGGGTTAAAGCATAGCACTATGAAGCTATTGCAGCCACTGCAGCATGAGTTCAATCCCTGACCAGGGAGGTGACCACATGGCTCAGCAGAGCTCTCCTGGCGCATCCGCTGCTCCCCTCAGCAGTGTACTTTGTCAGTCTTCCTGTTCTGCTCCCCACTCTGTCTCTAGTGAATCCTCTCACCCCACCACCTCTGGCCTTTACCCCAGTTCTGTATGTATATACAAAAAAAAATCTTAAAAAAAAAAAAAAGACACTGAGGTAAAGACAAAAACCCAAAAAGGAGTTCCTGCAGGGGGAAACTAGTGTGCAGAGAGTTGACCATCACTGAACCCGCTGGTGCTGGTTCCCCACTCACTGAAGGCTGAACCCCAGAGACAGATCTTACCATGAAGTTATATGATGGGCTCCCCTCCAGAGTGAACCCCAGAGACAGATCTTATCATGAAGTTATATGATGGGCTCCCCTCCAGAGTGACACCACAGAACGGTCTGGAACCTTGCTGGTCCCAAGTCTACTGAATGCACCCTACGCCACTCTAAGGCTATGTTCTTGCTTACAATGAGGGGTTCAGGGCTACTAACAACCACAGGTAGTGGGTGCATCCCTTCTTCCACGGGAGTCTGGCCCAAGCCTCTCAGTGCTATTGCCACTTTGGGCACCCAGTGTAAGGTACTGATTGGTCCACAGTCTGCGCCTTGGTCCGCCCTCTCTGTTGGTGTCCAGATACCCAAAAAGGACCAAATTGGCACCTCCCTGCCCAAGACCCCCAGCTTCTTGGAAAGGCACCACTATGCTCCTTGGGACCCCCCCACCCCGGGTTGTACAAGAGCCTACACCTCCCTCGTGCCCCACTGTTGCTCTGAACCTGCGTACGCGGCTCACCATGTTCCCCTCCTCCTTCCCACTGAAGTTTCGTTCACTCAGCAAGGCACTCTAGAAAGACTTCCCTGACTCCAGCCTGTCTTTGTACTTGAATTCCAATCAGGGATGTTGAAGCCTGTCGGGCCCCCCCTTTCTGTGTCAGCACTGTCATCCATTTCCCTACAGCCAAGCAAGGGCATGTCTGGGGTGCTGCTCCCTGATAGGCTCACCCACGCCAGAAATGATACCATTGGGGACCCACGCCCTGTGTTCTGAGATCTGTACGTGCACGCATGAATGTGCTCCCCATGTACGGAAGTGGCTTCCACTCAGCACTATGGCCAGGGACCCTTCCAGCCAGCTTCTGGGGTGTCCTGGTGCTGCAGGCCCCAGGAGGGCACATAGTCAGGGTCAGAGTTGACAACACTAGCGGGACACCCAGTATCCGCACTTCTACGCTGCAACGAATCACCACTGACTGCAGAGGCTGCACTCAGCACATGTGGATAGCACCGGAAAAGTCATTCTTTCTACTTTCTATCAGGAAAAACAGAGACCAGGACCTCCATGCTGGTCAGCGTGGCCCTAGGGCCCCAGCTGGGCTCTGTCTGCTCTGTGCTGGGGTGATACATGTCTATCTGGCCAGGCACTCACCAGCACCCCCTTCCTGTGTGCTTCAGAGCAAACCATCCAGGTTTCTGAAGGAATCAAATGGCTGGTCCCAGAGGCCTGTTGTGGAGATTTCTGGGGGTGCCTGCTGGCTGATGGGCATGCTCCATCAGCGGACAGGTCAGAGCCTTGTGGGCCTTGGCCACCACAACTGCCCCAGGGACCCCTCTACCACCCCAGCTAAGGCCCTGCCTGCTGCCATCTCCTGCTGGGTAGGGACAGCACTTCCCCACAGGGCTCCCACTTCTGCGCCTCCTTCTCCAGTCTTCCCTGCAGAGCAGAGACACAACATGAGCTCCTCTGGCCAACCCCCACTCCTAGAGGCCCCACTCTCAACAACTAAAGTCCATATCCTTCCTTAGTCTCCCCAAGGCCTTTGGGACCTTCGCGTAACAGTTCCCATCAAGTTGGGCTGCCAGCCCGCATGGGTCCTCATGGCCCAAATGTCATCATGCATCTAACCTACTTCGAGCCCCCACCCCGTGCTGGAAGGCAGAGAGGTGAAGGCGGGGGCCGTTGGAACATCCATAGCGTCTTCTCCGTGGACAGCACCTCAGCTGTCACGGGCTCTGGGTCACAGCAGGGAGCCTTGTGAGACCCTCCCTGCCCCCATCTCTCTGCTGTCCCCGTCACCTGTGGGGCCTTCAAAGGCGGCTGCCCGCCTCCCCGCCCCTGCAGCCCTCTGGAACCTTACCGGGATCTTGAAGGCGTCCACTGAGACCTGGTTCTCCATGGAGTCCAGCGAGGGTCGGCGGGCGCCAGAGGAGGAGTAGCTGACAGGGAAGGCCTGGGTGGGCCGGCGGAAGGTCATCTCAGCGGAGGCAATGGGTGGCTTGTGGGCGTTCTTATGGTAGCGGTGAATGCAGAAGGTGGACAGCAGGACGGACACGATGAAGGAGAAGAGGACGGCCGCCGCGATCACCGTGCGGCAGAGTTCATCACACAGCGGGTCTGCAGGCAAGGGTGGCCGTTGAGGGGCAGCACTCCATGAGGGCGCCCCTGAACACTACCAGCGGCCAGCAAACACCGTCTTCAGCCCACCATGCCCACAACAGTTGGGCTGTGGCCTCTGGGACCAACTGAGCAGCCTAGCAAGTGCCACTGGCACGAGAGAGTGGGAGTGACACACCCCACCAGCACTGACAGACACACTCGTGTACTTTTGCGCTTGGAGATGGTCATCGCCTCCAAGGGGCAAGAGGCACAGAGAGGCTGAGCAGACGCACAAGGTCACACAGCAGAAGCTGTGCACCCACTGAAACCAGAGACCCTGGAGGGCTGCCAGGAAGATTAAGCTTCTCCTATTCCCAACATCTTCTGTAATTTCTTTATATAAAATGGGTCCAGGAAAAAGTTGCTTAAGGCCTAGAGCCACACAGTAACAACTCCAAATCCCAGAAGCTGCCCTGTCTGCTTAGTGGGGTCTGTGTTGCCCGCCACACCTGTGGCTTCAGGAGGAGGATCAGGGGGTTCTGATTGGGAAGGAGGGGTCCCAGCTAGCTGGTGCTGTGAGCCCCGCAAAGGGACAGCTAAGCTGATGGTGAGGTGCTTGGTAAAGCACTGATTTTCTGGCCTAATTTTTTTTACACGATTTTGGTCCCGAGGGCACTCTGTAGTGGCCCTGACCCATCTCTCTGCCTGCACAGATGAGGGAATTGAGGCCCAGAGATAAGGGAAGGTGTGTGTGTGGGGGGTCTCCTGGGCTTCACTCATCTTCCTGCCATTGTCCCTCTTGCCCCCCTTGCTGGGCTTAGGGAGGTCTGGTATGTGGCCCCAGGGGCCAGCGTCCCCACCCACTCACCCTGGCTGTCTTCCGGTTCACAGAAGCACTTCTTATCCTTGGGGAAGCAGTTGCAGATGCCAAAGCCAGCTTTAATGCCACGCCGTTCCCCAGGCTCGTGCCCACCAATGATGTCGCCGCCCCCTGGAGACAGAAGCAGCCCATTTAGCCCCCTGGCAGGATCTGCAAGGCACGACCCCCCATGTGGGCACTGAGGGAGCAGCTTACTCAGGGCCAGGGAGCAGGGAGCTCAGAAATCTTGGTCACCTGGACAGCCGGTCTCTATGACTGTACTTCTGGCCACCGTGGGTGGAAAGAAGAGCCCCCAGGCCCCCAGAGGATCCACGTAGTTACTTTACAGAAGCAGGGAAGGGGCAGGTGCAAGTCAGAAAAGTGGGGGCAGGGCACTACACCTCCATGAGTTGGCAGAGTGACACTGGCAAGTATAGTCCGCCACCGGAACCCACAGGTATTTTTGTGGGGGAAGGGGCAGGTAGAATTGTTCATTTAAATGAAATGTTCAAACAAAGCTTAGTACGTAAACCCGGGAACTTGGCAGGTCTGGCTGAAGAGCAGGCGGGAGTCCAACATGCTTCCACTCACTCCCCCAGCTCCCCCCGGAGCCCTGGGCCACCTCAGGTTGAACAGGGGCGCTCTGGTGGGCTGCTTACGGAGGCAGTCCTGGGGGCAGATGTTGGCGTCTCTGCTCTCCACGGCATCACAGTGGCCATCGGGACAGGTCTTGATGCTGGGGGAGCAGGTAGAGAAGTTCCTGGTGATTCCTACGACACACAGAAGGCTGGTCACCCCCATGTGGGCGCACCCTCTGGGCAGACTGTGAGAGTTAGGGGGGCAGCACCCCAGGACTCCCAAGTTGATTCTGCTCCTCTATGGATCACCAACATGAGGCCTGAGCAGAGAAAAATGGCACCCAGCAGTGTTATCACAGAGGAGCCCGTGGGGAGTCCTTAGCGCACAGGGCAGCGGGCGGCGGGGCTGGAAGGGCCAGGCAGGGCCAGGGGTCAGCTGAGACTAAGACCACCACTAGTGGGAGCCTCACAGTGATGGGTGACACACCAATGCTGGCTACTGTTAACCCCCAAGCTGGCTCAGGTCCGGTCTGCCTCAGGCCACACCCTCGGGCCTGGCACCTTCCAGGAAGAACCCCTCTGTCCATGCACAGCCTGGCTCTCATCTGCACCCTGCACGCCTGCCCACGCTTTCCCTGTGTTAGGAACCATGACGGTGGGCAACGTGCTGAGGTGCCGACTCGGCGCAGGGAGAGTCACTATAGAGGCTGCAGCCTACAGGAATCCCATCTCCACTGGCCACTGTAACTGAGGTTAAATGGTAAAATTGCTTTCACACCCTAGGAAGCAAAACAAAAAGATTTTATCTAACTTGCTCTTTAAGGTTTCTACTCATTCACAGGTTAGTTTATTTACAGATGACCCCAGTCTGAGCAAGAAGTGACTAATCTAGAGCTGAACTCCAGGCCAGCCAGAGGCCAGAAACTGCAAACACGGGGTGAGGGTGGGGCGCATGGTATGCAGAGACAAGGGTCCCACCATCAGAAATGCAAATCTTCAGAAATTCCTAAAAAAAAAGCCTCTTCATTCTTCTCCAAGCATGATGTGCCCTGGGACTAGCCAATCAGCTTTGCCCTAACTTGCTTTTCAGCCAATAAAATTCACTTCCCAGTCCCCAGTCCCCAAACCTATGTAATCTCATCCCCTTTCTTAACTAGAGAAGCAGATTTCGAGTGTATTAACTGTCTCCTTGTCAATCAACTCACAGTAAAGCCTCTTTCTTTTTCCAGACACTGTATCACGGTGTTGGCGTCTAAGCACAGAGTGGAGCAAGCCCGTTGCTTGGTAACGCCACCGTGGCTTGCCATCTTGAGGGCCTGGCTGTGCACAGAGCCTACCTTTGCCGTCTCCCTGTCTCCACTCGCACCTGCCCGTCAGAGAGCCCAGGCCACCACACTCCTCACACTCAGGCTTCCTCTTGCTGACGGCACAGGATGTGGGGCAGCCCGGCTCCTCGGCCACATCTGTGGGTGACAAAAAACAAATGCAAGCGATCAGTCTGGGCCCAGTGTCCAGAGAGCACACCGCAACCGCGAGGAACACTGGCTGAGCTGTCCCCACGAGGCGAGGCTTGAGTGGGCAGGGGTGATTCAGTGCCAGGACGCAGGGCAGTGGTGAGGTGGGTGTCTGGGGAGGGGGGGGGCAGCATTGTCATCACGAGGCATGGAGGTGCTGGCTTAGGATACGGGGCCAGGGCCAGGTCCATCAGAATTCCAGACACACTGTGAATCCCTGCTGGGCATAAGCACCTCCCTAACAATGCATTCACACCCAAGAGACACTTTTGAGTACATGGGGCATGAACCCCAAATGCTTATCATCTACCTGAAGCCCAGACTTAACCAGGTCCTGTGTTTCAGTTGGCAGCCTTAAAGCAAGGGCAGGGGCGATGGATATTAAAGGTGGTGACGGGGAGGAACGACCATTTACCGGCGAGGGTCTAAGGCAGGACCAGCTCTGTCCACCCTTGCCCCCCCCCCACCCCCCGGTCCTTCCAGCTCAGCTGAGCAACATACACTGCTCGTCTCATTGACAGAGACGGAGACCTGGGCACCACCATGGGTGAGGGAAGCAGGAGTGAACCCTGTGTGTGAGGGTCCTCGGCTCTTCCACACCCACCCCGACAGTCCAGAGAGTCCCCTCAGTACTCACACGTCCCCTCCACGGTCACCAGCAGTGGGGCCTGGGCCTGCCTGCGGGTGGGCCGGTCGGCGGCCACCACCGTGTACTGGAGCTGGGTACACTCGGGCCGCCGCAGCGCCTCTGTGTCGTTCACGAACAGAATCCCCGAGGAGTCCTCAGTGGAAGTGACCACGCCCAGGGCGCTGCAGTTGGGGCTGGGGAGCTGCAGCCGGTACTGCATGTGGATGCCACTGAACTCCTGGCAGTTTTCCACACACACTTTCCCAATCTAGGCGTGGGCACAGGGAATACTTCAGCGGGATGGCAGGAGCCTTCTGCCAAGGTGGCAGGAGAGGTTCCGGGGCAGCCCTAACCTCACAGCAGGCCCCTGCTCAGCCCGGGGCTGCCCCCCACCCCACACGCCCCAACCTGTATGCCGGGGAATCTGCAGACCCATCTGCCTGTCGGCCTATGCCCAGGCCACTAAGCACCATCGGCCCTGTTCCTGGGAGTTGGGGTAAAAGCTACCTGGGACACAGGTTTGGTTTAGTGGCTGGTCCTCCAGAGAGGGCCTCAAGGCCGACTGGATCCTTCCTTCTCACCACTGTTCCCACTCTCAGCTTAGCTCCTTCTGACCAGGTCAATTTTGCTCTGGGAATCACCAGTTCCATCCTTAGCTGTCATGGCTGGGGGGGTCCAGAGACCCGCCCAGAGTGCTGCACTGGACCACATGATTCAGGTCGGTCCCACACAACGCAGGGGACCTTCCCGGGACTATGGCTAACAGCCCTTGGAGGAAGGAGCTGCTTCTGCAGGGGATGCCAGGTTGGCAGCTGCCAGGCCTGGAGTTAGGCAGCTGAACTCTTTCCTTTCATCACTTGAGTTAAGAGTTAAGGCTGCGGTGTCTTGAGACCAAGAGTTCAAATGAGGGAAGGCCAGGGGCTAAGGGGTGAGCGCTGACATGAGGATCCGGCCCTTGGCCACACAGCTGGTCCAAGGCAGCGGGGCGCCTCCAAGCCTGCACCTGTCACTACAGCAGAAACCGCCTCCTGAGTCTGTCAGGCCTTCCCTGGACAAAGTATTCACTTATACTCTCTTGCCTGAGGCTCAAAGTTGCCCAAGGTGATGATCCTCAAAAGTCATAAAACCTGGGTAGGAAGAACGACACCACAGCAAGTCTGAGGTCTGAGGTGGCCTGGGACAGGGTCCCAAGGTCACCTGGGCCTGCTCCTGCAGGTGACCCTCTTTCAGCAATGCCTGCTCCTGCTCAGCCACCTTGGGGGCCGCGGACCCTTGGCCCTGTCACCCCCACAGTCCCTGACCTCCACCTCCATGTAGACCAGAGATGGTGGGCAGGTAGGGAGCTTGGACACGTCGGACTGGGAGGGGGTACCACATGGACTGGGCCCGGTGGCGGTCAGCATTGGAGGGGACACGGGAATTGACCACAGAATGTGGCAAAATCACTGGGACAACAGAAGCCCTAAACGTGACCTACCAAAGAGGACCAAGTAATATGTTAAATCACATGCACTCTGTGTGGCAAGAGCTTGTTGTGAAAGTGCTTAAGGGAAATATTGAGAAAGAAGTAGACCAAGATGAGAAACTCTTGGTGTGGGGAAAGGGATCCATCATTCCTCTCTATTTCTCATCTTTCATGAATCCCTGCCACTTTTACTTTCTCCACATCCAATCATTATTTTCTAATGATGAATACAAGATGTGTCTAGTCAACACACTTGCAGAAAGTAACAAGGCGCTCTCCTTCCTCTGCAGAGGGCACCACTGCTAACTGTTGCCGGCATTTACACACTTGCAAATTCCTAACAATGAAAATTTGTTTTTGAGCAAACAAAGAAGTCACGTGGTTCTCCCACTCTTTCTCGAAGCCCAGCCTCCTGGCTCTGTGCCCAAGGCCCCGCCCCAGGCTGGCCCCCAGCCCTGCTCTTAATCTAGTAAAAGGAGCACCCCATCCTGGGGGTACCCGCGGGTCCTCAAGTGGCAGTCAGCAGCAGGCTCACCTGGGCAAACTGGCCAGCCTGCCTGCTCACAGTGAAGGAGTAGGAGCTGGGCAGGCGCAGGCTGACGGGCAGCACAGACACGTTGAAGTGGAGCAGGAGGACGCCCTCGCCTGGGCCCTGGAAGTCCGAGTCGTTGACCAGCACAGTCAGCTGCAGGGCCCGGCTCTCCGAAATGGGGAGGCTGCGGTTGAGAACCAGCCCTGCAGGCGGGGGTGCCAGCGTGACTGCCTAGCCACTTGGGCCTGGAGCGCTCCCCCATACCCCGCACACCCCTTCCCGAACACACAAGCAGCACATATGCACACGTGTGCAGGCACTAGAATGATGGGTGTGTGGGTGCGTGTGTGTGTTGTGGGTACAGATAAGAAAGACCCGCCACCACTGAGACTTCAGTTTTTCCAGAGGAGAACTCTCAACTGCAGCGGCCCCAGCCCCAAGCGCCTGGGGAGCTGCACGCTTTGTGCAGCTGCTGTGGGATGTGGGTGGGGTTCCAGTTTAGCAGAGCCAGAAGATGAGGGGTAGGGCGAGTCCTGGGGCCAGAGTACCTCATGGACAGGAGGCCTTGGTGGTGGTGGTGGTGGTGGGGGGGTGATGGGGAAGCGGATGAGAAACACACAGGATCAGGTCAGGGACAAAGGGTCAAGAACACCAGTGACCTGGGCCCCCCCACAGGCAGGCTCCCAAAACAAGGGTTCAAGTGCCATGAATTGGGAAGGGGGTTCTAGAAGACATGGGCAGGAAGAAGGCAAGGCAGCAGAGGAAGATGCCAGCCCACCTATAATAGAGCCCTGCAGGCATCAAGGGCCAGGTGAGACAAACAACTGAGTCCTCCAGCTCTTCAAAGGCATGGAGCTCTTCAAAGGCATGGGACACCAACCTGTTAGCAGAGAGCTGCAGAGTAGGGTACCTCAAGGATGGCAAAGCAGGTGCCAGGGCCCAGAGAAAGGCCTCAGGGCATAACATACGTGAATGCTGTGAGGATCAAGTCCCCGAGTGGTGGGCATGGGAGGAGTGGTGGGGACTGCCAAGGAGCCACACAGCAGTTCAGGGAGAGGACAGCCTGTGAAAGCCCTCCAAGATGGTCGAGGGAAGCCCAGCAGACAAGGACTGACTTGGGTGGGTGGGGAGGCCAGCAGCCTGGAATCTGAGGGCTATGGCGGGTGTCTGTGGGAAGGGTGCTACCTTGCCCAAGGGGAGTGGGCCACCAGCTCCCTGGGGACCAGCCAGATACACCCAGCCCCTTACTGTAGTCATGCACGGTCGCTCGCACGAAGCTGCCGTTGGCCTGGACCAAGGTCTCGTTGGGGGCGTGCTCCACGCGAAAGGTCTGCTGGACCCAGGCGTCCCCAGTGAGCAGCGTGCTTGTGTACCGCCTCAGGAGCTCCCCAGATGCTGGCACCACATCTGCATCAAAGACACGTAGCGTGGCCAACCCAGTGCCCTGTCAACAACATGAAGTGTCAGTCAGAGCCAGTGAAGGACGCCTCAGGGCTCCCATAGAGATCTCAGTGTCTTTGTGTGTGCCGTCAGAGCCAGCTCTAGGGACAGACCAGTCTGACTGTGAGTCCCCCTGGGCCCACCTACCAGCCTGACATAGCACATTTCTTGGGTCATTGCACCTCACCTGTGCAAAAGGTGTTACAGGTTATCTGCACACTTTGGGTTAAGGATGGATGACAGATGATGCCCTGGGGTCTGCTGAAAGGCCTCATCCAGGAACCCAGAGAGCAGAACAAGCACCCCTACTCTGCCCTGAGGAAGCTGGGCCTGCAGGGTGGAAGGGCTAGCTCTGAGGTAACAGAGGCTCGGCCCAAGCCCAGGTGTATACCAGATGTTTTTTCTTTCGTGTAATATGATAGTTTATTTTTACATCATTTTGTACATTTTTTTTCATCTTGTAATCCCCGTGGGTTTCTCATCACCAAGTCACCCGTGTGCCATCACCATAGTCCTGTGCACTTCCCTCCCCCCACCCCCCCGTTTTTGATCCCATTCCCCACTCCACCCCCACAAAATGTCTCTGGTATATGGCTGTTCATTATTATTATTTTCTCGCCTAGTCCATTATACTCCTGCTATGAGCGAAACCATCCGGTATACCAGATGTTCTTCAAGCATCTACCTTACTCCAGGTTGGAAGGAGCCATAAGGAGGGTTCTGGACAGTGTGCAATTTGACGCGAACACACAAGTCTGATTTATATTCCTGCTTTGTGCGATTCCATCTTGTGTGTGTCGAGCTCTCTTTGCTCTCTTTGCTACTAACCAGCTGGCTCCCTGCTGTCACCCCCCAGGTGGCTATGAGGCTCATGTGACTTTCCCCACAAGATGTACTTTCCTCTTGCCTGCCCGTCTGCATCTGGTGGGCACAGAGACTCGGGAAAAGACAACACCCCCATTCAGCCCTTCCACTGCCCGCAGACTGCGCTGCCGAGTGCAGTACGACCCTCAGCCCAGCAGGTGGCAGTCATGCTCCACCTGTGCGGATTGGAGCGGTGGGACGGGTTGGGAGGGGCCTCCTGGTCAGGTCTTGCTGGATCCCCTAGCTGGGCATTCAGCGCTGCCCTGCTGGACCATCCCAGGGGCCAGTCGGTTGCAGGGGGCTGGCCTCCTCGCTCAGCTGCCCAAGAAGCACATCCCAAGTCCCTCCCGACAGATGGATGGAGACATGAAAGAGGACTAGATCGCTGGATGGTAAGGCCACATGGCTAGATGGATAGTGGACAGCTGGATGAAATTAAGTGGCAGGAGGAGAGACACAGAGACAAACAAGCACAGGGGCGGACAGTCACCTCCTTCCTCTTGAACTCCACCACTGCGCTGGCGGTGTCAACGCCGCCCAGGAAGGTGGGCGCGGAGTCGTCCTCGTCATACACGGTCACCGGGAAGGGCACCATCACCTGCTCCTCACGCGCGCCCACGCGCACGGTGCACGAAGCTACCAGGTCGTACTTTTCCTGCCGTTCACGATCCAGGGCCCAGCGCGTGCTCACCTCCAGGCTGTCCGGGTTGCAGCGGAAGGGGCTCTCACCTGTGCAGCAAGTAGACCAGGAACCCCCCATGACCCAGGGGCGGGGGGCAGGCTGGGGGCGGTTGTGCCATGGGAACACACTGTGCACGGATTTCAGGGTTTTTGCAGACTTTACTTTTGCTGATGGGGAGGATCTGAGGTCTGGAGGCCTGCAACCAGTCCTCACTCTCAATCACTAGGTGGCTGGGTACACCCACCTTCACCCACCTTGAACCCACTCTAGAATGGGCCTGTGTGGGGAGAGGTGGTACCAGCTCACCTAGCAAAAAGGGCCAGGGCTCCAGCTCCCAACATTTATTGGCTTTAAAAGAAAACCAGGAAATTAAAAAAAAAATTTTTTTTTTTTTAGCAATATGTGCCCATTCTAGAAAAAAAGAGAAGGAAAGTCCCAATTTTACCACTTGAAAACAGAAAGGATATTGGTTACAGTTTGACGCACACAATCTATTTTCCACTGCAGGGTTCCATGCCTGCTCTATACCTCCTGGCTGAGACTCTTTGTGCCACCTCTCTGTGCCTCAGTTTCCTCACCTGAAGATGGGCTGGTGAAGGTTAAGGTGCTTGCCCCGCCCCCCCACCCCGCCACACCCAAGAAGCAGTGTGATCTGTTCAGGGACTTTTGACTGTTCTCACAGCCCTATGAGGGGAGAAGCCATAACACCACCCTTTCCATCCTAAGGCTGCCCTGGAACTCATCCTCCAGAAGTAACTGAGAAAAGAGGGACTGATGAAGGCTTTAAGACCATCACAGCCCCCACAGGAGTGGGAGGGAGGGGGGCTTCCCTTAGTCAACTCCCCTTGGTGGGAAATCACAGGCCTCACCCAGCATGGGAATTACACCTGCAGGAAATGCTTATCATATAATGTTTCCATTGTCTGTGGTTACAAAACACATGCTCCACAAAATTTAATTATGTAATACTCAGTAAGAAAGGGCAGCATGGTACACCATGCTTTGCTGACAACCTTACACAAAAGCATCTGTCCCAAAGACTGCTTGGGAATGCGAGTGGTGACTGCTCACTCCACTGGGATTCTCATGGGGTCACTGACAGTGTCACGGTCCCGGGGCCACTCACAAACAGTCCAGCCTCTGCTTGTACATGTCCGAGTTTCTTGACTTTTTTTCTTTTTCTAAGATCTATTTATTTATGCACACAGAACTGGGGTACTGGCCAGAGGTGCAGGGGCAGTGCGAGGATTCACCAGACAGAGCTGGGAGCAGAACAGGCCGACTGACCAAGTGCACTGCTGAGGGGAGCAGCGGGCGGGTCAGGAGAGGTCTGCTGCACCATGTGGGTCACTTCTGGGGTGGGGATCGAACCTGCACTGAAGCAGCTGGTGCTAGCTTGCAGTGCTGCATCCTAACCCGTTGCTAACCTGTTGCACCACAGGGAGAGCCCACCAGCTTCTTGACTTTTAATGGCTGAGGCCTTTCTGGCGGCTCTTCTCCATGGGGTCCAACTCCACCTCTCCCCCCACCCCACCGCCCCAGGGCACTTTTGTGTGCCTGGAGCTGCTCCAGCAGAACCCTGGAACTATGCTTTTGCCCTTCTTTCCCTCGACATTCACTCACCCAGCTCATCAGCAAGTCCTGCGGGATCTTCCTTCTGTCCAGAAGCGACTACTTCCACCTTCCTCCTACAGCCCCCTAGTTGCTTCCTGCTCTAAGCTGTCACACCCCGAATCGCCTCTAGCAGCAGTCAGACTAACCCTTTTACAGTAAATCAGGTCTTGAACGGCTCAGCCCCCTTCAAAGCTGTCCATGACCCTCCAGTCCCCCAGTGGGAAGCCTTGTCCCCTTCCCAGGAACTTCCCTGTCCCCCCCAACCTTCCTCCTCCTGTGTCACTTGCTATTCTCCCACCACGTGGGAGGTCCCACATCAGCCTCTACTCCCCTGTGGAAGCCAGCACCCTCCTTTGCTCCAGCACGCCCCCGCCCCCGACAATGTAAGATAGCATTTTGCACCCCTCCTAGCTCCTTCCAGAGGCCACCCAGCCCCTGAGCATGGTGTCCACCACCCTCAGGAATGGCAGAGCCAGGCTCCAGGCAGGCAGGATTTCAGCTCTCTATCCACCGTCACACCCAAGTGCTTAGAACAGGGCCACTGTAGGCACACAGGAGCTACTTCTGGAGTATTACAGGGACGGGTGGTGAAGAGCAAACCAGATGGCTCCTGCCTAGAGCAATGCCCTGCCTGGCACGCAGCAGGCACCAACGTTTGCCCCTCGAGGCTGGCAGCTGGCACTCACCTCCCGGGAGCTTGTAGGCCACGCTGATGTTGGGGCAGAAGAAGTGCACGGGGAGCAGGCGGAACTGGTGGAAGGTGCCGGGAGGCTTGTTTTCCCGAATGCGAAAGGCGAGGCCTCTCTCCGGGAAGCAGAGCTCCCGGGATTTGAGGGAGTCACAAGCAGGAAAAGAGGTGTTGATGAAGGAAAAGTACACACGGGCACAGCCAGGCCACTGGCACTCGCCTTCTCGCACGGACGTAGGCAACAGGAAGACCTGGAGGTAGATGGTGAGCAGGGGGAAGCCGCCATCTGCAGAAAGAAGAGCCAGGCCCAGCGGGCATCAGCTGTGCCTGCCAGGTGCTGGAGAGCTCAAGGGGGCAGGGACAGGTGCCAGGTGGTGTGAAGCCCCGTCTTCATCCTGCTGCCTGGACCCTCCGCTGGCCTGGCCTACTATGCCTTCCTTCTCTCGTGCCCCCTGGGCCTAGCGTCTTTGCCTCAGGGCCAGTGGTTCTGCCCCCTCTGCCTGCAGGTGTCCCGTGGCATCACCTCCACCCCCTAGCACTCAGGTCTCAGGTCAATTTTCCCTCCCCTGGGGGGCACCCTGAGCGCCAGGTCTAATGCACCTTGTATCTCCTTTGTCACTTCACTGGCCAGGCGAAGGGCGCCTTGAGCCATGGGTGCATTCCAGGTGGGAGTTTCTCCCCTCCACACCTCCCCTCAAGTGGTTTCCTCTTGGACTGCTTCTGCTGAGACACAGCCCATAGGGAGACTCGCCCAGAGACAGAGGGCGAGATCCATTTTGGAGACACCCACTTACTCAACGAAGTCTAGGCCTCAGCGCGGGTACAGGCTCCTCCTGGGCCCTTCTGTCAGCCCTAGGCAGCAGCTGCTCCCTCACCAAGCTCTTCTCACATCCATTAGTGTCTCTGCTTCTTACCAGTCCCTCCACAGCTGCACCAGCCCTCTACTGTAGTTATTCTTTCTTTCTTTCTTTTTTTTTTTTGTAAAGATTTATTTATTTGTGCATACAAAACTGGGGTATAGGCCAAAGGCGCAGGGGCGGTGTGAGAGGATTCACCAGAGACAGAGTGGGGAAGCAGAACAGGCAGATCGACGAAGTACACTGCTGAGGGGAGCGGCGGGCGGGTCAGGAGAGGTCTGCCACGCCATGTGGTCGCCTCCGGGGCAGGCGGGGATCGAACTCATGCGGAAGTGGCTTTAGTTTCTCAGTGCAGTGCTTTAACCCGCTGCGTCACCAGGGAGGGCCCTGTAGTTAGCTATTCTTTAAACCAACTTCTCTGTCAAATTCCTGTGTGGTTTCTCTCCTGACTGGACCCAACAGGTGCAGGCGGCTGTACTCTGACCGTGACAGGGTGCCTACAAAATGTGGACCCTCAGCAAACTCTACTCTGGTCTCCGCTCCAGCAGCCCTAGTGCTTCCCCACTGAGGTTCAGGATGAAGAAGGCATCAATGGAGTGTATGTACAAGCAAGCCCTACCTCAGAAGCCCTCTCCTTCAGGGACCACCTGGGAACCCACTGTGGGGCTCAGCTCATGACCTGGGCTCACTTGGCACAGTGCTGCCCACTATGTTCCCAGGCCTGCAGCCTGTCTCTGGCCCACACTAGGGGGCTCAGGGCTAATCTGAGGTCCAGTAAGGCCCCATCTCTGGAGGAGGGGGGCGAATGGGTGTGCCATCACCATTTCATGCTAAAAGGCTGCCTCAGCACCCCACCAAGAAGTGGGGTTGGAGGGCCCATGTGGCCCTCATTTCCTCTGATTCCCACTCAGAGGAGCCGGCCAAGTCTCCCTCTGCTCCACTTTCTTTGGCCCAAACAGCAGCTTGCTGCTGACGGGAAAAGATATTTTCAGTGAAACAGCTTTTCCTCCAGCAAATTCCATGTCACTTGCTAAATCAAAACGGTGGGATTTTCTTAGCCCCTCTGAACCCTTCTCTTAATCCTTAAGCCTAGTTAACCCAACTGTTAGAGGCATCTGGATTCGTCATGCAGGGAGCCCCAAGTCTTCCAAAATGGCTCCTCCTAAATCCCAAACACCTCAGAAGGGTCATCAGCTCCAGGGTCATCAGCAGTCTCCAAACTCCTCCTGGCTCCCTTGCCAGACTGGGCGCAGAAGCAGCCAGGCCCACCATGCCCTCGCCCTCTGACACAGCAGGAGCTGTGGGGGAAGCCTGGTGTGACATGGATGGGGGGGGGAGCTGGAGCGGTGAACGCGGGGTGAGTGGCAGGAAAGCGGGGTAGGGCTGCTCCTTACTGCGAACACTGAGTTTCTCCCAGGAGCTGTGGTCCAGGCTCTGGTTCAGGTACAGAAGCCCCGTGTCCTCATGGATGCGGATCCAGATGTTCTCATGCAGCCGAGTGCGGTAGGCGCCATACAGGTGCTGACCCAGCCGGAAGCTGGGCACTTCCTCGGGGATGTCCCTCAGGGCGTGGACGTAGAGCAGGGGCGTGCCAGCTGGCTGGTCCACGAACAGCTTCTCCCAGTAAGCATCCCGGGCAAAGTAGAGTCCCAGTGGGGCTGCAGGAAATGGGGAAGCATGTGAGGGAGAGGCATTATCTCACCTGTGGATAAAAGCTTCATGGACAGTTAATTTTCTGAGCTGGGTAGAACTTTCTCATCTGTAATCTTAAGAACATTATTACAAGTATGTGTGTAGTGTAACAAGCTAGAAATGCATTGCTTTAAAACAGGAGGTAGAGGAGGCAGGATAAGATCATTCTCCATTACTCAGGTTTGATAAGCAGGTGAATTATGGGGTGGGGGGCGGGGATTCACACTAGCTTCTGAACACATCGCCTGGAGCAGGAATTTCCACGTGTACAGAGGCTGCCTGAAAGCCGGACAGGCAAGGGCTGCCTAAACCAAATGAGGGCTTTATAAGCCAGTAACAAATCTTTTTTTTTTCATCTCAATTGTAATCCCTGTGGATTTCCCATCACTGAGTCACCCGTGTGCCATCACCATAGTCCTGTGCACTTCCCTCCCCTGTTGTTGATCCCATTCCCCACTCCACCCCCACAAAATGTCTCTGGTATATGGCTGTTCATTATTCTTATTATTTTCTCTCCTGGTCCATTATACTCCTGCTATGAGTGAAACCATCTGGTATTTTTCTTTCTCTTTCTGGCTTATCTCACTAAGCATGATCTTTTCCAGCTCCATCCAAGTTGCTGCAGAAGACATGTGTTTCTCTTTTTTGGTTGCTGAGTAATATTCCATTGTATATATGTACCACATCTTTTTTATCCAGTCACCTACTTTTGGGCATTTGGGCTGCTTCCATGTTTTTCCAATTGTAAATAAAGCAGCAATAAACATGGGGGTGCAGGTAACTTTTTGAATCAGTGTTTTTGTGTCTTTTGGGTAGATACCTAGGAGTGGGATTGCTGGGTCATAGGGAAGCTCCATGTTAAGCAGTTTGAGGAACCTCCAAACAGTTTTCCATAGTGATTGTACCAGTAACAAATCTTTATCCAAAGTTAGACATGCTCCTACCATAGCACCCAGGCATTTCACTCCATTTATCCCAGAGAAATGAAAACATATGCCCATCAAATGTCTTATTCACAAATGGCGGCGCTGGAGCATCCCAGATGCCCTTTAGTAAGGGACGGATTGGCCAACAGTGACCACCGCGTGGAGTCCTGGACAAAAGGAAAAAGGGCTGAACTCGATACACACAGAAACCTGGATGGACTCACTGGCATCATGCAGAGTAGAAGCCTGGCATGTAAGGATACACATGGCATGACTCTAGAAGGACTTCTGGTAGAGATTTGATAGAAATCAGACTGGCTATGTGTTGGGGGGACAGGAGGGGCACCAGACTGGGAGGGCATGTTCTAAGGGGTGTAACTGTTCCATCAGAGAGCAGCCCGGGTCACTGGCACATATCCACCGCCAACCAAGTACAGTCAAGATTTGGCTATTTCAACCTTGTAAACGTCACCTACAAAACCCACTCACCAGGGCAGAAAAAAGAATGTCTTGAGGCAGAAGGACGCTGGCCACGTTGGCCAGGTGAGCCCAGGCAGGCACTCATTCTAGTGTTCTGCTTTCCATAAAAGTATTTTTAAAAGTTAGAATTTCAAAAAGATGCATAAATAAATAGGCAAATAGCTGAGGAAACGCTAGAACCTAAAATAAATTCTACAATGCACAAAAAACCAAAGTTTTTGATACACAAAGCAAAGTCCAAAAATACTGAGCTTGTGTGTATCCCATTTCTCTTTCAAATCAACTTGTCTGCACCTACAACCCACAGCATCCCGTGTCACAGCACGCAAGGGAGCGCTGGTCTGGTCTACACCCACCGAGGCCTCGGCTGGGTCCACCTGGCAACCCCAGGACTCACTTGGGGTGTCACATGTCAAATGGGGTCAGTGAAGAGAACAGGTGGGGTCTCGGGGATCCCAAAGTGGTGAAACAGCCAGAAGACTAGACTGCGGTCTGCCTTGTGGAATGTTCCCCAGGGACGACTTCCAGAGGCAGCCAGGCTGGGAATCAACCGGAGGGAGTGTGTGTTTGGACTGACTGTCCTCGGTGGCAGGGCTGCAGGGCAGGGCGTGGGTGAGGAGGAAGAAAGAGGGAATGGGGAGGAAGAGGAAGAAGGGAGGGAGAGAGGGAGAGCAGGAAATGAGAGTTGAATGAGGAGAAAAGGGGAGAGAACAGGAACAGGATGGTGGGGAGGAACCCCTGCAGGTACTCTGGCCAGAACCAGAGGCCTGACCTGTGCCCCCACACACAAAATTTGGAGACGGGAGAAGGGGTCACACACATTGTGCTGATCTCACAAGCCTTTCAGAAAGCTGCTCCTGAGACTGTTCCTGCAATTCTAGGGTCCTGTGGGTGCCGCTCAGGGAGGGGCGAGACAGGACCTCCTAGGAGCTGGAGCTGGCCCAGCCCCGAGGCCATGCAAGGAGCCAGATGCCCAGACTGCCCGCTCTCAGATGGGGCTGGAGCTAAGGCAGCCCTGGGAAGAAGCCCCCTCCGGGGTGGGCGGGCCACGGGACCACACTGACCCCGCTGGCAGGGACGCAGGCAGGAGCCGCCATGTGTGGCTCAGCACCAACCCCCTCTCCTGCCCTTCTGATTTCCCACCAGTCCAGCCCTGGGGAGTTTCCCCACAGACAGTGACGTACTCAGGGCTGGAGTCGCTGGGGCTCTGTAGTTGCCCCTAACAGGGAAGGGACAGCAAGCAGGCTACAGACTGTGTCATCCTCAAAGAGTCACCTGGGCAGCCTCTCCCTGCTCCTACTGAAGGGCAGCTAATGGCGTCTGGCTCAAAGAGACTAAGGACAGTCACAAATGGGGTCCACCCAGAGGCTGGCACTTCTGGGAGAATCACCCACACTCCCCATAGCATGGGGAGTGAAGAGGACCCTAGTGAAGCTGCTCACCGAGGCTCCGAGACAAAGACGGGGTGCGACTGGACAGCTCTGGGAGGCTCCTGGCTCCATCACAGCACAACGCCAGCCTCTTACCTCCTCTCCTCGCCCCCACTCCCACCCCCGCTTCTGCACATCCCCAGGCGGCGGCAGCACCTAGGACCGCCACTTTGCAGATGGCACACAGAATGCCATCTGTTTGTTTACTCAAGGGCACACACAGCCAAAGAAGAATTCGTAGTTCTTTCCAGAGGCATACCCTTCTGGACTAGCCCACTCAGCCTGTGCCACAGTGGGGCTGGGCCCCCACGTGGCCAAGCCCTCGATTCCCAGCTGACTGGGTCTGCATGTCTGCAGAAGAGGTTGTACCTTTTAGGAAGGTGCCCCCACCAAGCCCTGAGCGGGACCCAAGTCAGAAACTCCAGTTCAGTGGAACGTTGTTCCTGAAGACTCTGTGTTTCTGGGAAAGCTTGTATTTTTTAAATAGATTTATTTATTTAGGCATACAAAACTGGGGTACAAGCCAAAGGTGCAGGGGCAGTGAGAGGATTCACCAGACACAAAGCTGGGAGCCGAACAGGCAGGTGGAGAAGTACACTGCTGAGGGGAGCAGCGGGCGAGACAGGAGAGGTCTGCCGCGCCATGTGGGTCAGCTCCGGGGCGGGGCTGCACTGAAGCAGCTGCAGCCAGCTTGCACTGCTGTGCTTTAACCCACTATGCCACCAGGCAGGGCCAGAAAGCTTGTATTTCTGGTCATGAAAAGACGGCATTCTCAGGGGCCTCACAGGCTCATGACATCCCATCAGGTAGGGAAGGGACTCGGCTAAGGCCAGCACCCCCAGCGTGCCCCCCAAACATGGGCAGAGGGATGTACAGCCACCATGAGTGACTAGAGAGCCTGCCATTGGACCACAAGTCCCTGGGCTGAAAGGGACCCTACCAGGGGGGGTGGCATGGACCCACTGGGTGGCACATACACAAGAGCAGCCTACATCTTCCAGAACCCACCAGCTCTTCTGGGTGTGTCTGATCCCTCCACAGAGAAATAGGGTCTGTGTTCTTGCCCCAGAGCAGCAGCGAGGGGACACTGTGTGACATAAAGTGACGTCAGGAACACGGCTTCTACAAGCTGGTTCTCTTGGGACACTCAAACCCAATGCCCTAGTCCACTGCCTTGGGGAGGAACATTGAGTGGGGATGTGGTGGTACCTGGGTACTCCAGGAAAGCAGACAGGTCTGGTTAAGGTGCGTGGATAGACTATGGTTCCTCCTCTGGAGGCCCCTTTGAGCACTCATTTATGTGGTCCAAGGGCTGGGGTGTGGGGTAGGTCAAGCTCCCCGTAGTCCCTGTTCCACACAGTCCACACGTGCAGGGAGAACGGCCTTGCCTACTCTGGACACAGAGCCCACCCAGCCCTACGGGACCCACATGGGGCCCACCTGTTATTGCCATGTGGGTCAGGCCATGACTGAGCAGAAACAGACTTGAGCACTGAAAGGCCTTCCAGCAGGGCCGGGCCACCTGAATGCTACTCATATCAGACACTTCTAGACGGAAAAACACATGGTCCAAGCAGGGGACCCGAAGAGGTGGGTGCAGGGCTGGCCGCCGCGAGGTATGGCCTGAGCTGTCCCCAAGGGCTCCCTTCGGTTGCTGTAATGCTCTGCTGTGCTGTCTTGCAATTCTCTAATTCTAGGACCAGGTTCCCTATGTTCATTCTACACCAAAGAAGCCAACCTTACTGGTTAATGAGGAGAACAGGTTGCTGGTGTCCAGTTTCACTGGGTTGCGCAGCTTCCGCAAAGTGCTTGTCTCCTCAGAGCCTCAGTTTCTCCAACTCTGAACCAGAGAGCAGGCTGGGAAGAAGAGAGCGGCCAGCGCAGGTGCAGCCAGTCCTCCCTCCCCCTGCACAAGTGTTTACTGGGAGAACTGCACTGCAGGTTCACAACATCCCAGGTGGGAGGCGATGCTCTGGTCACGAAAAGGCCAACACTCTCGGGGGCCTCACATGGGCAGTGGGGGCTCGTGACCTCCCATCAGGTAGGGAAGGGCCTCATCATGTAGGCCCTTCACACTGAGGCTGGCAGAGGGGAAGCCCCACGCCCCCACCCCTCACTACAGGTGCAGGG